CATCATCTGTAGGGGTTATAATTTCAACATAATGAATTGTAGGGAAACACAAACATTCAGAACATAGCAGACTGGAAAGAAAAAAATAGATTATTATTATTTAAAAAACCTTTTTTTTTTTAACGTTTATTTTTGAGACAGAGAGAGACAGAGCATGAATGGGGGAGGGTCAGAGAGAGGGAGACACAGAATCTGAAACAGAATCTGAAAACGCGGGGCTCGAACTCATGGACCGCGAGATCATGACCTGAGCCAAAGTCGGCTGCTTAACCGACTGAGCCACACAGGTGCCCCGATTATTATTATTTTTAGAAGAAGATTTTTTTTTTAAAGTCACAAAGGAATTTTATACAATTAAAATATTACATAGACTGATGGGATTTACTGAATAACTAACAGATCCATAAAGGAAAGCAAGTCTGAAAGATGAAATCCAGTAGCACCTAGAGTATCTCTAAAAGTAAAACTTCTGTTTCCTTCTTTCCTAATATATATATTTTTCAATCTGAAAGAAGGTCTTTATTTTTTGTAATTAATTAGTTTTTTTAACTTGTTTTATTTTTTATTTTTTTAAATTTACATCCAAATTAGTTAGCATATAGTGCAACAATGATTTCAGGAGTAGATTCCTTAATGCCCCTTACCCATTTAGTCCATCCCCACTCCCACAACCCCTCCAGCAACCCTCAGTTTGTTCTCCATATTTATGAGTCTCTTCTGCTTTGTCCCCCTCCCTGTTTTTTTATTATTTTTGTTTCCCTTCCCTTATGTTCATCTGTTTTGTCTCTTAAAGTCTTCATATGAGTGAAGTCATATGATTTTTGTCTTTCTCTGACTAATTTCACTTAGCATAATACCCTCCAGTTCCATCCACGCAGTTGCAAATGGCAAGATTTCATTCATTTTGATTGCCGAGTAATACTCCATTGTATATATATATACACCACATCTTTATCCATTCATCCATCGATGGGACATTAGGGCTCTTTCCATAATTTGGCTATTGTTGATAGTGCTGCTATAAACACGGGGGTGGCATGTGTCCCTTCGAAACAGCACACCTGTATCCCTTGGATAAATGCCTAGTAGTGCAATTGCTGCATCGTAGGGTAGTTTTATTTTTAGTTTTTTGAGGAACCTCCATACTGTTTTCCAGAGTGGCTGCACCAGCTTGCATTCCCATTGAGGCAGTTTAATAACTTATCCATGTTCACATATCTAGTAAAAAAAGGAGCTAGAATATGAATTAGGTCGAATTCCAGAACTAAAACCATATCTAACATGCCTAATACCTCCCACTGTTAAGTTTTGTCAAAAAATTAGAAATTCCCTCATCCAGGGAGAAATAAAGTGTCTCATTAGGGACTTAACTCTTCTAAAATATCATTAGAGGGGGATTAAAACAGCCAAGCCTTCATCGAGGCAGAAACCATGATCCTATTAGCAACAAAAGGCCTTCCCTGGGCAACATGAATCGACTACAGAAACTTGTTTAAGGGAACAAAAATAGCTGGCTCTGTCCAGATGGGCAAGAGAAACCACAGACTTTCCATACCCTCTCCAAACCCTTAAATTTCATCTTTTGGCTTTCTAAAGGAGGTTGAAGAGAAAAAGACAATTTAAGAATACACTGGAGAAGCAGGGAGTTGATAAATGCCTATAATACCTACACACAAGAATCACAACAGCAAAGATCTGAGGAAAAAAAGACCTGGCTAATAATGACATATAAAGGTTAAAGTTCCAATAGACAAGTGAGATAGGGAAACTGAAGGGATTCCATTCTTGAAAGGCTCCATTTCTGCTGTTTCTTTAAGTTCCACTCACTCATGTTCTGTATTTTGCATCTGAGTAAACCAAAGAAGCTTTGTTCCCACTCCAAGGGGGAAACAAGACAGTTAATCATTCTCTAAGTTTCATCCTAGGCCCCCAAACAGCTGCTAACATCTAAGAAGAATTAGATCCCCAGCATGTTCCAGAACATTACCTTTGAACAAACTCTGGTCAACAGTGGCATCAATACACTCTTACCTTCGGTGATTTATGGACTAACACCTATTGTTCACCTGGCACTCACCTTTGATTGGACCCTACCCTGGATTCCTGATGGAACATGTACCCTGGAACATGATCCCTTTCCAATATAAATCCCTAACCCCAAGTGATAGGGAGACTCACTTTTCCTTTTGAGTCTCCCAGACATTCCATCTGCTATACTGTATCACTTATGTCATTCAATAAACTCTGCTCTCACTTTCCCCTGGCTAGAGTTTGATTTCTGTCCTATGTGAAGCCAAGAACTCTCTTGGTCCTGTGGGACCCCCTCAGGGTCTTTAGTTCTGGCCTGCCCACAATACCTGGACAAGGATGTTCAAAACACAAGTGGGTCACACCCAAACACTATTTTGTTTGATCATTTTAAACTAAGAAACTGAAAAGTCCAGAGGCTGAAAAGAACACTAGGAAGAGCAGTGAATACGAACAAGATGGGGGATATTCAAAAAACAGCTCTATGGGGAGGCACCTGGGTGGCTCAGTCAGTTAAGCATCCAACTTTGGCTCAGGTCATGATCTCATGGTTTGTGAGTTTGAGCCTCGCATCAGGCTCTGTGCTGACAGCTCAGAGCCTGGAGCCTGCTTCAGATTCTGTGTCTTCCTCTCTCTCTGCCCCTCCCCTGCTTATGCTCTCTCTCTCAGAAATAAACATTAAAAAAATTTTTTTTTAAACAAAACAAAGCTCTGTCCAGAAAAGAAACAAGGACTTATATATTTGAGACAGGCATCTCAGAACCCATTTGAAGGAAGGAATTATGCAGGGCACATCTTTTTTTGTCCAAGAATAAAGACTATGCAATTGGTTTGAATTTCTATCATAGTTTTTTTGAAAAATTTTTTAATGTTTATTTATTTTGAAAGAGAGAGCACGCGAGCAGAGGAGGGGCAGAAAGAGAGAGGGAAGGAGAGAATCTCAAGCAGGCTCCATGATGCCTACATAGAACCCAACTTGGGGCTCAAAATCACAAACCATCAGACAGTGACCTGAGCTGAAATCAAGAGTCGGAGCTTAACCATTGAGCCACCAGGGCGCCCCCTATCATGTTTCTTAAGAACTAGGACATGAATAGGAATACCACCAAGTCTTGCTGTTTATAAACTCAATTGAAAATTCTAAAAATATTGATTTCATTATCTAATACATAAATGATAAACTTAAGCTCTGTTTATCTTTTTTAATTTAAAAAAAATTTTAAGATTTTATTTTTAAATAAATCTCTATACCTAATGCAGGGCTTCAATTACAACCCCAGGATCAAGAGTTGCGTGCTCCACTTGACTGGGCCAGCCAGGTGCCCCAAACTCTGTTTTAAAACAAAAACTCTTTTTGTGGTGGGGGAGGGGGCAGGCAAGGGAACAAACCATTTTACTGGGGTGCTTGGGGGAGGAGTCAAAGGGCTGAGAGGACAATGAGATCGGATATCCTTGCCTTGGCTAGGATCTCCCCAGCTTCAAAGTTGCCAAAAGCAACAAAAACCTTTCTAGGTCTCAGCTGCTAATAAAAATTTCAACATGACTATCATCAACATAAATCCTCAGAAACTGTTGACTTCCCAGAACTACCCTTTTGCCTACAGAATAACCAAAGGTCTACATCTCTTAGTGACTCTTCCAAGTAATTCTCACTCTGATTTTTAAAAGATCTGTAGAAGAAGCAAGCCCTTCACCAAGGTGTGATCAGACAATCTGGTTAAAAGGTATACATGAGGTCCGGGTAGTGGCCCTTGTTTTAAGCCTTATCAGAAACTATTACCCTTTATGATATGTACTCTTAATTTAGGTTTGCATTGGCAAAGCTGAAACACAAGTAATTATCTCCTTCTGGAAGAAAAATCAAGTTACCTACATAAATTTATAGTAAGCTGCCAAGTTAATGCTGATGCCATAGTTACAGGAGATCTAAAGCATTAGGCTACTCATATATATGATTAAACAGAAATAGAGCAATATATGTTGTCTTAGCTTGGGTTCCCCCAGAAGCAGACCCCATGATTAAGATTTAAGAGGAGGTGGTTTACTTGGGAGGTAATCTCAAGAAAGGCTAGTAAGGGCTGAGGTAGTAAGACACAGAAGGGAGGAAAGTGTTATGGGTGCATTAATGAACCCAGAGATGACCATTAATGACCCACAGACAGCTGTGGGTCCTGGACTCTGGAAGACTAAGGAGAACATACTTCAGAGTTGTCCCACCTGATGGGTGAGGAAACTGGCATATTTATCTACCAACTCTTGTATGGCACTAAGGGCTGCTCCAGAGCTGTGAACTTAACATTTTCAGCTTGCCTCATCTGAGTTGGCATGCTCTTGTGGCTAGGAAGAGCTCCCAGGAAACAAGTTACTGCTACTTGTAGCAGGAAGCTATCCTGAAAAGAGCGGGTACAGATGACATGTATCATATATATTTTGATTAAATTATATCATTAAGAAAGGCAGCTCTTGCTAATTGTTTTGAAAGTAAGACTTAACACAATATAATAGAAGTATGATTAGGTACTGATCTCAGGTATCAGTAACTGTTTAATCCTACCTGAGAGTTGGCTGGGCTTAAGAATTCAATCACCCTGAATTTGAATTTCAAACCTCTGCTAGGATATCAGAAGACTCCGATCGAGACAGGCATCCAAAAGCTCCTTATTCACCTGCCTATCTGTTCTGACACCAGCACTGGAAATCTACTCTGCTTGGTTACTTATATTCCATACACGATGACACTTGGTCATTCGCTCTAGTTCCTCTGTTTTATTTACTTGATAATACAACCTACTGTCATTACTGTAAAAAAACAAAACAATCCCATTCATGTAGCTGTCTTCAAAGTTAAGAATTATGTTTTATATGTACATGCACATACACACTTACATGGGCTAACATATACGAGAGACCCTAAGTAAGTCACAGCAGCTGCTATTTAGTCACTTCTTAATAATCATTTATTTTCTTCTTTCTTAGAACTACTATTTGATAATTCCTGGAAAAATCTTGTTATCTTTGAAAGAGAAAAATAATAAGCAAGCAGTACATGCCATATGACTATCCTTTATCAACCCAGAATAGCTCTGCTTAACCATTTCCCCATGAAGGAGGCTTCTATTTCTATTTACTACCATCAGGTTGCATCTACATATAGTTGTTCCTTATTTCGAATACCAGAACAAATACCAACTTGCATGTTTGTTTTGAAGATGTGACATTTTTTTTTTTTTAATTTTTTTTTCAACGTTTATTTATTTTTTTTTGGGACAGAGAGAGACAGAGCATGAACGGGGGAGGGGCAGAAAGAGAGGGAGACACAGAATCGGAAACAGGCTCCAGGCTCTGAGCCATCAGCCCAGAGCCTGAGGGGCTCGAACTCACGGACCGCGAGATCGTGACCTGGCTGAAGTCGGACGCTTAATCGACTGCGCCACCCAGGCGCCCCTGAAGATGTGACATTTTAACATGGCCTATTAACACATGGGGATCTCACCTGAATCTTAAGTACTCCAACCACCTGGGCTGTAGGTGGTGTGATGGTGAACTTCCACTCTGATCTCCAACGACCATTCCTATTAAAACACACACAAGGCTGAAGAGTTAGCAATAAGCACAACAAAGAGGTGATTTGCTACTGAGGGAGAGAATTTGGGAAAGAGAAAAAAAACAAAACCAAAACCAAAAAGAAACAAATCATTTCTAGTTTGACAAATCCAAGGCTCTGTCTACTCAAATACAAGTTTGTATCCAAGTGTCTAAACGTAAGTTTTTTAAAGTTATTCTGACTTTCATTTTTCAATCATGGAACAGAAAACCATGCTTATACTATTCATGGTAGGCTCTTCCACAAACAGCTAGATGGGCTGCTGAGTTTTGCAATTAACTCAAGTATTATTAACTAAACCCAAGTAAAACTCAGATTTTCCACTGGGCACTTTCTTAACCAATCACTTATTCTCACTCAATAGAAGAGCATTTTTTAAAAAGACAAGATTATAAAATCTTGGCATTGAAAGGAATCTAAATGTTCACGTCTAAACCCCTCATTTTGCAGATGGGGAACTGAAGCCTCTCAGTCAAATAACTTATTCTAAACTAGTTAGATTAAAAACCAAGTTTCAACTACTGGTTTGTTTTCTTCCCAACAGAAGTTAAGACACAAATAGAAGAGAACATCTACTTTCTTACCAGAAGTTTTTAGGCTGAAACTGGTGGCTTTCAATACACGCAATAATGGTCTGTTGCCCATCTATAGTTTTAGCATAAACCTATTGTTAAACAAAAAAAAAAGTTAGCCTCTGAAAACACATTTAACCTAAATGCCAAACACTGTACAAAAACAGCATGCTAAATCCTCGGAGGAGACAAAGAATCAGGTAACTCACAAGACTTCATGGGATACAAACACAGAACAGAACATGTTTAGTTCCACAGGAGACACTGGCACAATGACTGCAGAAGGCAGTACTGCTCCTGATTTGGGGTACAAGGGAGGTGACAGTTGGACTGGGCCTTACAAGACAGGTGAGATTCTCATAGGCAGAGACTGAGAGGAAAGATGAGTAAACTCTTCAGACAGGAAACTGGGGGCTTGTTCAGTGAACGGCAATTAGTGCTTTCAGGTTAGACAGTACGTGTGAAGTGGACTAACTGAAGTGGGTGACAATAGAGGATAGAAGATATAAATCCCACAGTGATAGATAGAAGGTAAGAAGTATGGACATTATTCTACAGGACAGACACCAAAACAACATACCAGGCACTATTGTTTTGGGAGAATAATTAATACTGGTATACAGGCTAAAGTAGAGGAAAAGCTAAAGTTGGTTAGGAGGCCAGAGCATTAATCTAGGCAAAAAGTCAGGGTAGTATCAGTGGGTATCAGGGTGCAAAAGCATAATCAAGTCTAACAATACACTGCAAGTGAAGGACAGAAAAGGGGAAAGAGCCAAAGTGCTTGCATACTGGGATGACCAGATAGACAGTAGTATCATTAACAAATTGGGAAATTCAGATAGAGATGTGCAGCTAGTAGTCAGAAGCCCCAACTGTTCCTTAATGTAGGAGAGGTGAACAGAAATGCAATCCCAAGGAAAAGGAAAAAAAATAAATAGAAGAACTTTATAGTCCACAAAATATTTCCACATGTTTACTTTCCCTATATTAAATAAACCATGAGTTTTCAAGAAAGAGAAATAGAGCAGTGGGGAATGCCTACATTTACAAAGGTAGGGGAGAAGAAAAGAAATAGAGACAAACTGAGAATGAGTAGAGGGTGCTGACAGAGCAGTCTAAGCAAAAGGTAAGTAGTTGGATGGTCTCAGTGTGAAATGCCATGAAGAAGTCAAGGACAAAGAAAAAGATACTGAGGCAATTCAGGAACCATTAGTAAACTCAGAGAACAGTTTCTATAGACTAAAGACTGAAGCCAAAATTCACAGGGTTAAGAAGTAGATACATAATGAGGAAATGACACTAGTAGGAGCAGAATGTTCCCAGGTTTGGTTACATAGTAGAGAGAAATGAGGGAAGAAAGGAAGTGAAGAAGAGGGAGGAAGAGCAAGGTAGAAAGAGAAGAAGAAAAGTAACTGATGGAAATTATGACTGAGGAAAAGTTTGTTCTCCTTAAGAAGAGAAATAAAAATATTTAAAGAGATATGTATCAGACAGGATAGTATAAGATCAAGAATAAGGATCCCCCTTTCTAAGATTGAAGTACAGTGGAAGAGAGGGAACACTGCTGAGTGTGGAAAGCAGCGAAAGATTTCATGTCAGTCTTACTAATATGTGGGGGATCAGACAGATGCCTAAGGACAATGGGAATGAATTGGAACACACTATATTGAAAACATTATGGGAAATATTGAGATGAAATCAAGAATTACCACCAAGCAGGACAGCTCTGAGGATATAAGACATTTGGGGTACAACAGACACTGTCAGAACAATTTGACGGCTTTCTGTAGCTCATTTGTTGGCAGAGACAGTGAGAAAATGGCACGTGAGGTTACTTGGTGTGGAGGCCCTCCAAAATAAGAATGAGTAGTGTCAAACTTTAAATACATAACAAATGAGAAGTTGAAAGTATATTTAGGATTGCAAAGCCAATTTCTAAAAGAGTATGCCATGTCTTCCTTTGTAATATCAACTGTAATTATCCACCATAATGGGTTTTCTCCATCATTTAAAAAATAAAAAACATGTAATAATAATGATATTCAACACTTATGCAGAACTTCCTTTGTGCCAGACATTTTCCAGGCATTTTATATGAGTAATTACTTCATTCAATCCTCACAACATCCTATGAGGTAAGAACTATTATTTCCATTTTATAGGTGAAAAGAATTGAGGCAGACATGTTAACAAAGTCACAGAACTAATTAAGTGGCAAGACTAGGATCAAACCAGTTAGTATGGCTTCAAAATAAGGGCTCTTACCCAATATTCTATTATCGCCATTTAACTCATCATCGTTAAATATTGAAAATATTCTAACAGACATTTTTCTTAATCGTATTCACAACCTTACAAAGGAAAAATCATGATAGAGCCACATTTTAACATCAGTGTAAAAAAAAAAAAAAGTCAAATTACTCTTGATTAAAAAAAATTCAAATAGTTTTGACGATCCAGTGAAAGCATCTAAACTATATAAGTAGCTTTCTGTAAAAAGGCCTATACTAAAAAGTCATGAATGTGGCAATAGCTGTCTTGACAATCTAAATTTATTTACTTATGTCTAAACTAAAGATGTTAAAGAATTTTCCATATAAAATTGTCCATTTATACCCCTTCAAAAATGCAGAGGAGAATAAAATGCAGAGGAGACTCTAAGAAGTGATGTTTGGCTAGCCAAAGCCCACAAAGGATAAGGTAAATGTAGAAAATAAAACATCTCTAATAATGAAGCAGGCAGATACTTAACAGTACAGAAGCCGTTGGAATAATGATCTTTCACATAGGCCCTTAAAGCACTGTCACAGGATTCTCTCCAAGACTTCAGACCTCCATCTACGTCCTCTGGCTGGGGGTCACTTGCTTCTTTCCGTAGATGGTCAAACTTAAAGGAAATTTTGTTTCTTGGATCTAAAAATCTGCTATTACCCAGGTCACCATGTTCTGTAATTAAGACCTTCCAAAGAATAATTATAAATATGAGTAACTCTGTAAAAAAAAAGTTCTTGTCAAATTTAACAAAACAAATAAAAATTCTGAAGACAGTTAACTTTTCATTTACTCAGATTTCTCTTTCATACTGATTTTTCAATCAAGTCACATTTTTAAAAAATTTAACTTTTTAAGTAAACTCCACCCCCAAGGTGGGGCTTGAATTCATGACTCTAAGGTTAAGAGCAGCATGCTCTACCAACTGAGCCAGCCAGCTACCCCTTAAGTCACATTTTTACTCTTATAAAAATATTACGTTTAGGGTTAAATCAGCTCTAAAACCACATTTCTCCAACCTATCCTTCATTTCTTGGTTTCTGTCTAATGTTTTGCCAATGTATATACTTTATACATAGCTGCAACAGTAACTTCTCTATACATTTTAATATCCTTTTTTTCCACATATTTCATAAACCTTTTCTAGTCATTATACTTAGCATTTAAAATAGGTAATATTTGTAAAATAGAAACGCTGGAAGAATATATCAGGGATTGGCAAATTTTTTCTGTAAAGGGCCAGATAGTAAATATTTTCAGCTTTTCTGGACATAGAATCAGTTGTGCCTACTCAACTCTGATGTTAGCAGGAAAGCAGCCATAGACAATACAAAAAACAAGCAAGCAGGGCTGTGTTCAATAAAACTTTATTTACAAAAATAAGTCGTACCTGCCATGCATAGCTTGCTGACCCTTGCTCTAAATTAATAAAAATCAGTTGCCTTATGAGGAAAGGGACATTTATTTGTTAGGAATTTGGTGGATATGAGATAAAGATGAGAAAAAGATCTCACTATATATATATATATTTTTTCCATTTTTGAACCATGTAGATGTATTACTTATTCTATTTATTTACTTGTTTGTTTAAGTAGGCTTCACCCCCAGCACAGACCCAACAGATTCACGACCCTGAGATCAAGACCTGAGCTGAGATCAAGAGTCACGCACACTCAACTAAGCCACCCAGGCACCCACCCACCCTTTTAGTTTACACAAAACTAGCATACTATACTGTGTTTCACTTTATACTTTTTAAATTTAATATACCTAGAAAATCTTTCCATAGGAATACTCAGAGAACTTCCTTGTTTTTTGGTTTACAATTGTATACTGCTCCATTGTATGGCTATACAAAAATTTATTCAACCAGTCCTCTATTAACGGATAGTTGGGTTGTTTTCAATCTCTTACTATTATGAACAATATTGCAATAAATGTCCTTGTATGTTCATTATGTATCAATTATGTACATGTGCCATGTACTCATGTGAGGTAAATTCTCTGAAAGGGGACAACTGGATCAAAGCGTAAACGTATTCATAATTTTGTTAGAGACTGACAAACTGCCCTATATCAGAGATAGGGTGTGGTACCAAGTTACAAACACACTATCAGTAGAAATTTTAACTGCAATTTCTTTTCACCTTTTAAAAAGTCATTTCCCCTTCTGTGAACAGTCTATTCTTATCTTTTGCCCACTTTTCTATTGGGTATTTGGTCTTTTTCTAGTTGAACTCTTTTTATTAATTAGGCAGATAAAACTCTGCATGTGTCGAGTTTCACAATTTTTTCCCTAATTTGCCATTTGTCTTTTGACACATTTACCATTTTTAATAATTACATATAATTTCACAATATTGACATACCATAATATATTTAATCACTCCTGAATTGAAGCAGGTTTAAGTTACTTACCATTTCCACTATCGAAAGCCACTATAAATTCTCCCACAAAAAGTCTTCTGCTTAAAAATAATTCTTTGGAAAGAATTCCTAGTTTTGAGATTCATGTCCTTATCATCAGACTACCCTTTAAAAGCTTGATTATTTCCTTAGTCTTACTCTCATAAAGCTTTCTCATCACAATCCTGCAACTTGTGTAATTAAAAAGTAAATATGTTCACATTAAAATTTTAATCTGCACTACCTTAATTACTATTTCTGGGCGATGTAACACTTTTCCAAGTTTGCTTTGTATTTCAGTTGGGTGCAATTGAACCAGTTGGGTGCAAATGGTTCATTTCTGTTGCTCATTTATTCACTGAACTCTTGGCATCATCCTTAGGTATTTGTTTTTTTTTTTTTTTTTTTTTTTTTTTTTTTAATTTTTTTTTTTTCAACGTTTATTTATTTTGGGGACAGAGAGAGACAGAGCATGAACGGGGGAGGGGCAGAGAGAGAGGGAGACAGAATTGGAAACAGGCTCCAGGCTCCGAGCCATCAGCCCAGAGCCTGACGCGGGGCTCGAACTCACGAACCGCGAGATCGTGACCTGGCTGAAGTCGGACGCTTAACCGACTGCGCCACCCAGGCGCCCCCATCCTTAGGTATTTGAATAACCTCTTTACTATGCTTGAGGCACATATTTTCTTCTTTTAAAATCTTATTTTAAGCCCATTATACAAAGGTCACTTTCTTTTATAAACTTTTCTAATGTTTCATCATTACTTAAATGATTCTCTTTCCATTTCCTACTAAATTTTTATGTTTTAAAAAATATTTAACCTTTAATCTCCACCTGGAATTAATCTAAGTGTATAGTTGGCACTGGAAATCAAAGTTAGAGTAATCTCATAAATTTTATCAATTGTTTCCTTTTCCTTTCTGTTTTATGATACTTCGTTTAAGGGCTTTCTGATTCTTGCCTTGTGTCTTTGTTTGCTAGCATTGGTCTTTTTTCATTGTTGTTCCTGATCAGAATAATCCTGTATGGTCTATTTTTCATAGAAATTGTATGAAATCTATTTGAAAAACAAAATTTCCATACCATTTATATTTCCTTTTTTATTCTATTTTTTTTTTTTTTTTTTTTTTACAGTTTATTCATTTTTCAGAGACAGAGACAGAGCGTAAGGTGGGGAGGGGCAGAGAGAGAGGGAGACACAGAAGCAGGCTCTGGGTTCTGAACTGTCAGTACAGAGCCTGAAGTGGGACTTGAACCCACAGACTGTGAGATCATGACCTGAGCTGAAGTCGGATGCCTAGCCAACTGAGCCACCCAAGTGCCCCTCATTTATATTTCTTATTCAGATAAGCTTTCCATATTATTTATATTTCTTATTCAGAAACCCTGTATTTAAATCTAATTTCCCGTTTACTTCCCAGATTAAAGTGTGTGTGTGTGTGTGTGTGTGTGTATGAACTGTATAGCAGACTCCTGCTAGTTTCCAATCCAATAACCATTCTTTCCTTTTCCCTTACTAACAGAACCCCAAAAGTTTCCAAAAAGACTGTGTATACAAATACAAAAATGATACTTCCCCACTAGGAATGACAAAGTGATAGGAGTTCTGGCAATAACTTATCAGTGAAAGTTGCTTCTGGAATGGCCAGCACCTTTTCCAACTTCCTCCTTCTTCCTTCCTACAACTATGGATTTAGTGCCCTGAAATAGAGCGGCTCTCTTAAGAGCATGATAATGAAAACAATACCTGGAAGGCAGAATAGAGAGCTGGAAGCAACGTGGGTCTCTGATGACATCATGGAGCTACCAAGTAACAGCTCATAACAGCTCTAAATATTACCTCCGGATTTCTTACATGACAAAAATCTCTACATAGTTAACCCACTGTAGTTGATTTTTATTATATGCAGGGGTGGCATCTACTTTGGTTTTGTCTTTTTAATTTTTTTCCTTTGTGTGTGTGATGTTTTATGGCATCTACTTTATTTATTTTTCAAAACATTTTATTTTTAAGTAATCTCTACACCCAATGTGGGTCTCACACTTCTAACCCTGAGATCAAGAGTCGCATGCTCTACCAACTGAGCCAGCCAGGCTCCCCTATGGCATCTTCTTTAATAACTCATGTATCTTTCCTTATTTTAATGTCCAGGTAATAGCTTTTTGTTGCTGTTGTTATGGCTAAGAATGCCATCTCCTTTTGACTACATTTTTAAGCTGGCTACTACTGGTGTATGGGAATGGTCTTATAACATGTATCTGGACACAGATCTTATTTCAATAACTTGTCTATATTACATTAAATTATACAATATCAATTGCAAGCAATATTTATCATTTTTTCCAGTATTGCTTATTGTTTATACTTGTAATTAATCTATTTTCCTTAAGAAAATTAAGCAAAAATATAAACCAAAACAAACAAAAAACAAGCAAAACAAATTCCAAAAATCCTGTAATTCCAAGACAGAGTTAACATTTTGGTGTATATTTTCCTACATTTCCTTTCCTATGCACATCTATATACTTTATACCTTTGACTCCTAAGATGTGTATGTCCCTCCAGGGGCACCTGGGTGGCTCAGTCAGTTAAGCATCTGACTTAGGCTTAGGTCATGATCTCACGGTTCGTGAATTCAAACCCCACATCAGGCTCTCTGCTGTCAGCACAGAGCCCTCTTCCGATCCTCTGTCCCCTCTCTCTCTGTCCCTTAGGTGCTCTCTCTCTCTCTCAAAAATAAACAAACATTAAAAAAAAAAAGATGCATATGTCCCCCCATCACTTAACATTTCATAAAATGGGATACATCTTATACTTAATGGCATCTTAGGACTTTGCCAATTAAAATTGGCAGTGTTTTTTCTTAGTGGTACATAAAATGGTGCATCTTTTAAAGAATTTAAAATGCATTAATTCTAATACAGTTCATTTAAATATCTATTTGAAAAATAAACTAGCACAATTCTACATATGTTCTTTTATGTTTTAGCTTAATATATCACAAAAATCTTTCTAGATCAATACTTTAGCATATGTGTTACCAAAGGGAGTATATTCCCAGATCAGTTTTTACATCACTTTTCAATGTAGTCACAGTATTTTGGTCTATAGATAATTAATTTAATGTTGGTTGGGCATTTAGATTGTTCCCAATTTTTCACTATTATAAACCTTGTTTCACTGTCATAAACCTTGCTATAATCTTTTTAATACATTTATATACTTATTTTCCTAGGATAAATCTTACGGATTTGTGGGTTCAAAGAAGATTCAGACTTTTTTCTTTAAGTTTATTTTGAGAGACAGAGAGTGCAGACATTGAGAGTGGGGGAGGGACAGAGAGGAAAGGAGAGAGAATCCCAAGCAGGCTCCACACTACATGGGGCTTGATATCGCGACCATGAGATCATGACCTGAGCCAAAATCAAGAGTTGGATACTCAACCAACTGAACCACCCAGGTGCCCCTCAGACTTTTTAAACAAGGATTTGGTATTTAGTGACATACTGCCTTTGAAGTGCAATTAATGAATTTGCAAAGTCCTGCCAGACAATGTTTATAACTATGACAATAATGGAAATGTTTGCTTTGTTCCTCTATTTGAATAGAAATGTCTGTTTTTCTATAGAATATCAAATATAATGTCTCCTATTATTCTTACCAAGGAGAATTACATACAGCTATAAAATCTGTATAAAACTCAATTCTTTTACTTTCACTATTCTTGTTAGGGGCAGCTCTTTTTTCCTGTCAAAGAAACTCCTGGTATTATCAGAGAGGGGAAGAATTTTCTTATATAGAACATTTACAAAAGCTCTGATAACTACGGCATGAATTTATTCAGCATCTTATCTTCAGACATTTGCTTTGGTTTATAGGATTTCTACTACCACCCAGGCACAGCCTACTAAAAAGAACCGTCATTACCTGATCTTCATATCCTTCTATCTTCACAGGCGTGAACTGATCCATGTTATACTGGGCAAATGCACTGTATTTTAACAAGTGGAAAAAAGGGGGGGGGGTTGGGGGGGAGAGAATTATACATAAAGAAACACCAAAGGTAATTCACAGAATAGTGAAAGAGAATGTGAAAACACTCCCCAGTGCTCTTCCCTTCCTCTCTCCAGGCAACTAGTGTTATCCTAATGCCTTCCCACTTTCTGAAGGAACTCTTCACAGTGATCTCAGATGTGCCCTAAACTCTGAAATTACCTTTTCATCTCCACTTCTAAGCTCCAACAGAATTCCCCTTAGACAATTCCGAAGTTTTAAGTAATCTGATTTTTGTGAATTACCAACTTTTAGATAGAGGCTTTCAGTAGTTTAAAGAAAAAACAAAAAACCCTTCAGTTGATGCACTATTTTACCAATGCTGCCTTCTTTATTCTGGACTTTCTGAGGCAGGGCAGGAAGGAGAGATCATAATTAAATGTACTGGAAGGCATTTGACATGGGGAGAGGGTGAGGCAAGAGCGGAGCATGAGTCAAGTCTCAGAGGAGAGCTTAAGGCAGAAGAGAATATTTTTTTTTAATGTTTATTTTATTTTTGAGAGAGAGACAGAGAGACAGACAGATAGAGCATCAACTGGTTAGGGTCAGAGAGAGAGGGAGACACAGAATCCAAAACAGTCTCTAGGCTCTGAGCTGTCAGCACAGAGCCTGATGTGGGGCTCAAACTCACAGACCACGAGATCATGACCTGGGCCGAAGTTGGCCGCCCAACTGAATGATCCACCCAGGCACCCCAGAAGAGATTATTTTAAAAAGGAGATATGAATAATCAAAGTACATGCCTATTAACTACCATTTACTTGTCCAGTGCTAGATTTGTAAAACTGCATTTTCAATGGCTCCCTAGTACATCTAAGTAAGCAAAAAGGTAAAGGGAAAGAAGCCCGAGGTAAACTGCAGTGTAAGAAACGCGTAACACACAAAATATCAGTATTCTCACCCACTGGCCAAGGGAAGAGTTAAACACCTCTCCTGCCCAAGTTTAACCTGCTAAAACGCCTGCTAGACACTGTTTTTAAGCAAAGTATCAAACTTTTCTTCAAAAGAAACCAAAGTAACAGACATTTAAAGCTAATCCTCAGTCTTTTCATTTTGGGTTATTGTTATGTTTTTAGATAAATCATTTCTATGGTGTTATAAATCATTATACATCCCCATTAGCAAAATGAGTCTTAAACATGGTGGTTCTTCAGATAGGAAGATAAATTAAATGTTCATGCAAAGTGGATTAAATATTATTATTATTGATTTTTTTTTTTTTAAAAAGCTTAAGGAGTAGAGAGTAGTAAGTATTCCATTCTACGATACGTCCTAAGATTACAGATTACAAACACAAATACCAAAGATGGTTAATATTTAATCCCATCTCAAGAAAATGGTATTTTCATTCTACCAGCAGTGTGGACCGAAAACTTGAGATCCTTCTTGATTCTTCTTTCTCCCACATTTCACATCCAATCCATCAGTAAATCATATGGATTCTACCTTGAATACATATTCAGAATCTGACTCCTTCCCACCACCCTTACACTAGTCCAAACCACCGCCATTTATCTCTGAACTACTGCAATAAGCCTTCTAACTACTCCTCTTACTTCAATATTTGCCCCCCTGCATGGTAGCCAGTAATTATTCTAAAATATAATCTCATCGAGTCATTCTCTGCTCATAATACTAGTAATTTCCCCTCTCTTTCAGAAATAAAATCCTCTCTTTAACATGGCCTACATCTCCCTACTTAGTCTGGGAATTAACAGAGAATGGTTACAGTGGTCAAGAAGCATAGGTGAAAATCCAGGAAATAGGGTTAAATTCTCGGTTGTTCAGTCCTCCTTCATTTTATATAGAAGGCAATAATGATGATTACTGAAACAACATTCACTGAGCCCTTACTATGAGATCTGCAGCCAAGGGACTGAAGCATCTTATTACAGGAAGAAAAACAGAATTTTTTTATCCCTATAGAAAAGCAAATATTTGGGCATAAGACAGCTGTCCTTTAGGAAGAATGTTCTCTGAAAAGCTACAGTCTGTAAGAACCAGAATATTTATAAAAACAAAGCTTTATTGTCAGTGCAATTAAAGCATCTGAACTATTAAATACCAAATTCTACTGTTACTCCTAATTAAAAACGTGACAACAGGCTTAGGATGCAGTCACTCTTGGATCTTGGCATTCCACTCCCCATCTCCTCTTCAGCAGTACCTTATCAAATGAAGTACTGACTAGATTTATTTTGAGTAGCTCTCAAGGATAAAACTAAGACCAATATATGTCAGGCAAATTGAAGAACCTGCCTTGTTAGATGGTGAATTCCTTATTATTAGGAGCGTTCAGACTGGATAATCATCTGTTGACAAAATATAGATGAAATTCTTTCAATGACAGGGCAGAGGATAGACAGGGGTTGAATTAGCAAATCATGAATGCCTTTTTCTATGGCATTTTACGCAACTAAGAGAAACCAGCATTAGAATGTATCTTCAGTGTGTGCCTAAATCAATGTATAATGAGAATATCAATCATGATGACAATTATAGGGTTTGTAGAATTTGGTCCCAGAATGAGATCCAAAACAGCAGGGCAGAAGAAGGGCAGAAGAAGATGATTGCTTCTCAGGCAGCAACTCTTAAAAGTTTTCTATAGCTAAAATCTAAACCAACTGTATACCATACCAAATGCCTTTATGACAATTATTTGTTGCTCTATGTCAAAATCCTTGTTCCATCCTCTCTACCCCATCTTTACCCAGTCATTATCCTTTTCTGGTTTCCTCTTTACAAAGGAACTCTGGGTGAGTTAGACAGACAGTGATTGAAACAGAATTTTGTATGTAAAGGAGAGTAGTGATAAAGCCAGATAACAGAGGGCCTTGAAAGCTGACAGTATTTAGATTTGAAGAAAACAAAACACACATCACTCTCATGTTTTTGAGGACAAGGATAAAAGGAAAATGGTATTTTAGAAAGATTAATTAGCGTGGTGGTGATAAGGAATCCATGACTGGGTTGAACAACGATGCTATTATTCTATGGTTAATTCTATTAGGGCACTTTTATGAATATCTACTATTTTGTGGCAGTTTAAGAAACACTCCTCAATAGCAGCCTTATCTTTCTATAGCTAGCAATTAAAAAAAATTCAATGTGAACTAAAAGGAGTATAGAAGAAACCCTAACCACTCGTATTAAACTCTGCTTTTACAGGGGAAATCTGGAAAAATAAAAAATAAAAAATAAGGTCGTATATAATAAGCTTTAAGGGAATAAACAACATTGGGGGGAACATGTTTTCTCCAAGAAAAAAAAACAACAACTAAAACTGCTAAAACCAACTGCTTTATATTGAAGTATTTTAGACTTAGTTTCCAGGGCACAAATTTACTATCAATATAGTTCATCCAAAATTAAAATATAGAAGTGAAAAAAATATATGTAAGTGGATTTTGAAAGATACTTACTGTGCTGCCCCTTCCCTGAGGAGATTGTCATTGTTAAGTAGTAGCCGGACATCTGAAGAGGAAAAAAATGTTAAAAGATGTTAAGAACAGAGCGCCTGGATGGCTCAGTCAGTTAAGCATCCGACTCTAGATTTCGGCTCAGGTCATGATCTCACAGTTTGTGGGGTCAAGTCTTGCACTGGGCTCTGCCCTGACAGCATGTGCAGCATGCTTGGGATTCTGTCTCCCTCTCTCTAACCCTCCACTGCTTGTGTGCACACTTTCTCACCCCTCTGAAAATAAACATTTTAAAAAACCACACCTTTAAAAGATGTTAAAATTCAAATGTTCAGTAAAGGATAAGCTTCAGAAATGTTTAACAAGTCAGGCTTTGCAAAGTTGATCTTCAGATATCCTATATGCAAATGAACAGATGCTCACGTTCATAGATTTTCATGTAATTATTTGTGGTACAATAATCAAACAACTTCTCAAGGAATTTCATAGCAAATAAAAAGCATGGTTTAAAGAAAGTTACAATTAGAACTGTTAATTTTGTATCTAAAAGAATCCTTTAAAATAAGATTAAGAACTGGAGACTTTTCTATAGCATCAGACCAAGAAAGCTGGGCAAAATTCAGCCAGTGGCAGTGAAACTGCCAAACATATTTTTCCACGAAGGATTGAACGTGGGGCCTACGTGCTTTTAAAAAGCTGTATGTCAAGAGTCTAGTCATGCTTATTTTTTAAATTTTAATTATTATTTTTTAATGTTTACTTATTTATTTTCAAAGAGAGAGACAGAGAGTGAGCAGAGCAGGGGCAGAGAGGGAGACAGAATCCCAAGCAGGTTCTGCACTGTCAGCACGGAGTCCAGTGGGGGGCTCAAACCCACAAACCGTTGAGATCATGACCTGAGCCGAAATCAAGAGTTGGACCCTTAACCTACTGAACTACCCAGGCACCCCTATAGTCATTCTTCTTTTATAAGAGGAGGGTCCTTGTTATAGAAGAAACTACTAAGCATTCATTAACTCCAAGAGGAAAGACTAATTTAATTATAAGCCAAAGGCCATTGACTCTTAGAGCTTCTCAAAGAGGCTGGCAGAGGCCAATGTGTAGCATGCCAATAAAAACTAGTCTTCATGCCACAAGTAGCTTGCCAATTCTTAATCTAATTCCTTCATATCAATTATTCTCATGATATTCCTGTAAAGTCCATTCAGTTGTCAGAAATCAAACAGGGGGGTGCCTAGGTGGCGCAGTCGGTTAAGCGACCGACTTCAGCCAGGTCACGATCTCGCGGTCCTGGAGTTTGAGCCCTGCGTCAGGCTCTGGGCTGATGGCTCAGAGCCTGGAGCCTGTTTCCGATTCTGTGTCTCCCTCTCTCTCTGCCCCTCCCCCGTTCATGCTCTGTCTTTCTCTGTCCCAAAAATAAATAAACGTTGGGAAAAAAATAAATAAATTAAAAAAAAAAAAAAGAAATCAAACAGGGACTTCTAACTACAAAGGCCATTAATTTTGTTAAGAATTTATCTGAGCTGGGGTGCCTGGGTGGCTCAGTCGGTTAGGCGTCCGACTTCGGCTCAGGTCATGTTCTCATGGTTCATGGTTTGAGCCCCATGTCAGGCTCTGTGCTGACAGCCCAGAGCCTGGAGCTTGCTTCCAATACTGTGTGTCCCTCTCTCTGGCCCTCCCCGGCTCATGCTCTGTCTCACTCTCTCTCTCAAAAATAAATAAACATTAAAAAAAAAAATTAAAAAAAAAAAAAGAATTTATTTGAGCTAATCAGCTTGATAAAGTTCAGGTCGAAGGAAAATTTCCTAAAAGCTCAGTTGTTGAAAATTTACATTTGGTCAAAATGCAAAGACTAGGAAAATAAGGCTGCATTTGTTTATTTGTTTCTCTTGCTGTTAGTGCTCAAAATCCACAAACAAGTCTATAAAGATACATGTTCTGATTTATTTCTATTGTATTATTTACTCCTTAAATTATTATATGTTCTCCTGGTTACTCTTTCTCTGCATCATTAATTATTTTTATCACTGGAGATTAGTGATTGTTCTATGATGTGTGGGGCTCTGGGCCAACTGCAGATGAGTATCACATAGCTCCTCTCAAGTACATAGCCCTCTAATGTAAAACTCGAATTTCAAAATAAATGCTTGCTAAAATGAACCAAGATACACAAAGGACTTAAAGATAAATTTAACAACTTAAAATGGGATTACAATGATTGATTTTATCATAAAGCTCAAGATGCCTCATCTACATTTTTCATTCTATATGTTAAGCCAGTGAATAGAAATTTATAAATGTATTGGAATGGCGGTTCCCAAACTGGCTGTGACTCAGAATCACCTGGGAGAACTTAAGGATGGTAAGGCTGGAATCTGTGTATGTAATAAGCTTCCCAGATGTAGTTAGTTCAGCCCCAATGGCTTTAGAAAGTGTCCTGTATATACTACAAGCATGTGTTGAGTGAAAGCACAGAAGAAGCTGAAGCTATGATTTACAGTGATACAAAACTATGAAAATAATTTAATATTGCTTCCATATTCATATTAAGCTACTTTAAATCTTTTCTCACATAAGATAGGTATCCTAATTTATGGGTTAAGAGTATGCTTTTAACTCAGACCTGGGTTTGAATCCTTGTTCTGACACTTACTTGCTAGATGACATTGAATAAATTATTTTAACCTCTTTTAATCTTGATTTCCTTAAGCTATAGCTATAATGTGCTGTAAGGATTAGAAGAGATAAGAAACACTCAATAAATACTTATACATAATTATGGAGGGCTTAAAATACTAATGTTTACTCACCATTGAACACTTCATTAAATTCCCCTGGGGGTGCATGAGTGATGAATTTAGCAGCTATGCGTACCTAAAGAGAAAGAAATAAAATAAGAGAAGAGTAACATATAAAGGAAGAAGCAATTAACAGATTACAAAATTTTCATCATATTCATGGAGATAAAACTTCCTATTCAAACCTTTACTATTTAGGAGACTTCAGATTTTTTTCACAAACTATCTCAAAGCTTTCATCATCAATAGAGGTTTGTCCTGATTTTGAGATCTACATGCGGCTTTAAGTTTTAATTCTTCTTTAAAAAGTTGAGGGGCGCCTGGGTGGCTCAGTCAGTTGAGCGTCCGACTTCAGCTCAGGTCACGATCTTGCAGTCCGTGAGTTCGAGCCCTGCGTCGGGCTCTGGGCTGATGGCTCAGAGCCTGGAGCCTGCTTCCGATTCTGTGTCTCCCTCTCTCTCTGCCCCTCCCCCGTTCATGCTCTGTCTCTCTCTGTCTCAAAAATAAATAAACATTAAAAAAAATTTAAAAAAAAAGTTGAATAATCAATTTTTGGTCAAAATATACTACAGGCACAAATAGAGAAAGTTATGATCCTAATCACTTATGAACATTTAAGCAAAACTAAATGAAAGAGTAGTGAACTGGTAGGATACCAACATGTGTTTATAGCGTTTATCCCAATGCAAAGGTGGCTCAGTATTAACAAATCAGTGTAATTTACAAATTAAAGGAGCAGACCCTTGTGATTCTCTTAACTCATGCTGGAAAAAAAAGATAAAATTCAACATTCAAATATCATAAAACAACAAAACTACTAATTTTTGGTAGGAATAAACTTCTTTAAGTTGATAAAGGATTATCTACCAAAATTCTACAGCATACTTAATAATGATGCAACATTGCAAGCAGCGTCCCTAATTTTAAAAACAAGACAAAGATGACTGCTATCACCTACTATTAAACACTGTACTAAAGGTTCTAAAGAATGCTATAGACAGTACTTCTTCTGTTCTTCCAACTCCCTCTCCTGCCCCCTACTGCCATTCTACTTTTCTGGATCTCCTTTTATAGACAGACATTGAAGTCTTAGATCTAACTTGCATATCCCTTTTTCTCCAGTATTTTTATCTTCTTTTTGTCATTTGGTAGTTTATTTGGGGAGAAGGCCTCAGAGCTCCATTTTTCAATTCACTTAAAATGCTCTTCATTCATGTCTATTTTGCTATTCAGATAGTTATTTTAAAACCTATTTTTCATTTCCAAGACTTTTATTTGTGTGTGTGTAAGAATTATTGAGTCTCCTTGAGGGTATTAACTATACTTACTTTAAAGTATTGCTCTATTGACTGTTCCCTAAGAATTTAGATCTACTTGTTTGTTGAGTTTGATGCTTTTCTTTCATAGTACCAGTTTTCCACAAATATTTGGTATTCCTCCTTGAATTTAATTTAGCTTGCCTGTTCTGTTTACCAGCAGTTTGTCTCTAGTGATTGTAGGGGAGGGAGAGAGGAGACTTGCTGCTGTGAAGTGGATATGAGCCGATTAATTTCTGAGTAACCCTCGTAAGGGCCAGAGGCTACCTGGGGCATCGCCCTGCCTCTCTGCTCTTAGTGCTCATTCTCAATGCTATATTCTGAAGACAAATGCATTTCTATCTGCAGTTCAGCCCCAGTGGAAGAGAAAAGAGGAGCCAATGGTACAGTTAGCTTACAGAACAATTCCGCAATTAATCTACTCCAAGACTGTTCTGAGTCCTTTCCTTCTTGCTCCTCCAAGTGGCTCCTACTTCCACAACAGTTATCTTCTGATCTTACTTTTTTTTCCCTCATGTATTTACCATTCTGCTTTCTTTCTATCAAAAGAATTGCTACAAAACTTTGGTCCAACAATGGCACTCTCACTTAAAAAAAAAAAAAAAAAA